GAAGTATCACAAAAAGGAAGATGGACATATAAGCTCATCCCAAATATAAATATGTGGATTAAAAGAAAGCATGGAGAGGTAAACTTTTATCTTACTCAAATATTGAGTGGCCACGGAAATTTTGGGAGTTACCTGTGTAAAATTGGAAAGAGGGAAGTCGCGGAATGCCGATAATGTGCTGAACCCAATGATACTCCAGAACACACAATGTTTGCTTGTCCAAGATGGGAAGAGGAAAGATGTGAGGCACGCATGACGATTGGTGGCAACATCTCCGCAGATACCTTCTTAAAATCGGTAACAGAAAGAAGAGAAAACTTTGAAGCCATCTCAAAACTGGCCCAAAATATACTAGAGGCAAGATACAGCGAAGAGTGGTAATGACAAAAAAGGAACAGTCCGGCGTCTACTTGAGGAGATGCGTCCAGCGGATCCAGGTAGACGTGGCAGGAGCGAGGGGATGACGTTTAGTGGGTAGTGTCCTCCAGGCAGCTTAAGGAGAGATTGAGTCCCACACTCCGTACGTAAAGGTATTTTACACCTCAGAAAAAAAAAAAAAAAAAAACTATGTACTCGATATATCCGACCAGCTAACGGCCAGGTTGCTGCCCGGCTATTGGCGCATGACCTGGCCGTCATGCGTAAGTGCGTTTTCGCTCTGAAGTCGCAGATCATCATGATTTAAATCAAAAATATAGATTAAAGTCATAAAAACGACTTAAATTACATTATACTGATTTATGTCTTTGTGAAAATGACCTGACTTGATTGAAAATTATTTAAGTGAAAGACTTAAGATTTAAAGCATTTAAGCTTTATGTGGAAATTGACTAAAGATTTAAATTATTTTGATTTTAGAAATTAAAAAAAATCAGAAAAAGGGTCATGTTCTTTAGGCCTTAATTTTTTTTATTGTTTATTCTACTTATTCTGAAAATAAATCGTTTTATCTTAAGTGGTTTTATTCTCATCTCTACCTATAATAAATTAATAATAATACGTTTTTAATAATAAATTACTAATGAAATATTACGAGCCCTAACAACTAAATGTTCGGACAAACAAAAATTTATTAAAAACCTTTATTTTCATTAACTGAATTATTTACATTTAAGAAATACATTAAAAATATATTAAAATCTAACATTTCTAATGAGTATTTAAATAGTTTAGTTTCTATAAACATTAAAATAAACTGTAGGCCAATGAATAAACAAAAATATTGCACAATATCGTGACAACTAAATGTTCGCGGACACTTTAAAAAATAACTTTTGCAACCACTGCATGTCTGTTTGGCATTGTTTTTATTAATGATTGACATACGCCAGAGTAAAAATTTTGCCATAATTTACTTAATATCATCGTCAAATGGGCAACGGTTTATTGAGGATCTTGGCACAATTTTTGTTTTGTTTTATGCCACATGTCTCGATAACATTAAGGTCCGGACTGTGCGAAGGCCATGAGGGGACCTTGATGTTCATGTCCCTAAACCATTTTTTAGTAATTTTAGCCATATGGTATGCCCCGCCATCCTGTTGAAATATAAAATTTATATCCTGGTAAAGGTCTCTCGCACTTGGCACAAAACTGTTTTTTAAAATTTCTTGATATTTTGACACATTAGTTGTGCGCTACCACCTCATACCTTCCTAGACCCATTGCGGACATAAACTCTAAAAGCATAATGTCTTTAGGAAATTCCACTGTCCATCTTTCATAAAGATCATGCATGCGTGCACATGTAATCTTTGAACTTGCAATTTGCGATTAGAATTATCAGCGTCGGATTGGAACTTCTGATGTCACAAACTACAAAAATGACATTAAGGTAAAATATTTAATTATTTCCCAATCCGACGCTAATAATTCCAATCGCAAATGGCAAGTGCACGGATTACATGTGCACATGAGCCACCTTAATATCGATATAATTAATACCGCTAGAGTGTCTATTTGATAAAGATTGCCTCAAAAGGACAGTGAAATTTCCTAAAGGCATTATGATTTGAAGGAGTATGTCCAAAATAGGCCCAGAAAAGTATGAGGTGGTAGAAGGCATAATTGATGCGTCAAAAAATCAAAAAATTTTGAAAAATATTCTTGTGCCAAGTGGGAAAGACAAAGGTCCTTGTAACGAATTGTTCTTGTAAAGAGCCGGACAATAATTTTATATTTCAACATAATGGCGGGACATACCATACAGCTAAAACTACTAAAAAATGGTTTAGGGACATGAACATCAAGGTCCCCTCATGGCCTTCGCACAGTCAGGACCTTAATGTTATCGGGACATGTGGCATAAAACAAAACAAAAATTGTGCCACGATCCCCAAGAAACCGTTGCCCATTTGACGATGATATTAAGTGAATTATGGCAAAATTTTTACTCTGGCGTATGTCAATCATTAATAAAAGCAATACCAAACAGGCTTGCAGTGGTTGCAAAAGTTCATGCCGATGTAACGCCATATTAGATCAGTTATTTTTTAAAGTGTCCGCGCGAACATTTAGTTGTCACGATATTGTGCAATCTTTTTGTTTATTTATTGGCTTACAGTTTATTTTAATGTTTAAAGAAACTAAACTATTTAAGTTTTCATTAGAAATGTTAGATTTTAATATATTTTTAATGTATTCTTAAATGTAAATAATTCAGTTGATGAAAATAAAAAATTTTAATAAATTTTTGTTTGTCCGAACATTTAGTTGCTAGGGCTCGTATACGTAATTAATAATAAAATCCTAATTGGCAATACAAGAAAATTAATATTAACATTTAAAAAAAGATACTTAAATTGAAATCTGGTTGTGTTGACATTGGAAATTACATTGATTTAAGACATTTTACGGACTTAACTTGCAGATCATCATGATTTAAATCAAAAATATAAACTTAAGTCATAAAAACGTCTTAAATAACGTTATATTGATTTAAGCCTTTACAAAAATGACTCGACTTGAATCATTTGACCTTTATGTTAAATTTGACTTAAGATTTAGATCATTTTAGAAATGACTTAAAACTTAAGTCTTTGAAAAACTGACTTGTTGCATTTGCGTCTAGCCGTCCCGTGCAACACTTCAACCTCAACCCACAGTTCCGGCGCATGCGTATTGGAATGGCAGAAGAAAGTAATGCTTCAATATAGTCCCGCTTCGAAAGCAGCGTGTAGCCAGAGCAAGTAATCCACTTAAGGCCCCCACAGGCGTCGTTCTTTTTCGGCAGGATTACTCGACGTGCAAAACTGTTCGGGTAATCCAGTCGGTGTGTGGCTGAAAACCGTCGTGATTGCCGGCGTTCCAAATAATCTGTCTTGACCTGATTTTTCTCGTCGGTTTTGAACGTGATCGTGCAAGTCGGCCCGTGTGTGGTATGCGTACCGGTAATCACGATATATATTTCTAAAAATTGGCAGTGTTGTACGTGATTTATGTATGTTATAAAATGGCTGATTTGAGGCAATGCAGTAAACAATTATTAAGTTAATTTATAGAAATGTACAGAAATTTTCCATGTCTTTGGAAAATTAAATCTAGTCAATACGCTGACAAAGACAAGAAGAATAAGGCTTATGAGCGTTTTTTCTTAGCATATTTAGCTTTTATAGCTAAAACCATTGCTAACGCCACTGTTGTATCCATAATCACGACAATACTGAAGAAAGCCTGAATAAAATACTGAATAGTATGTGGGCGCCACCAAGTTCGTGATTACCCGACCAGTTTTGCACGTCGAGTAATCTTGCCGAAAAAGAACGACGTCTGTGGGGGCCTGTACTCTGGTGTAGCTCCGTGGTTGAAGCTGCCGTTTCGAGAGCAACGGGGTGGATCGAACCCCGGCAGAGATACCCTTTTTATGTTTTTAAAGCTGTTTTTATTTCTTAAAGCTGTTCTTATTTTTTTACAGCTGTTTTTACTTTTTTATTTATTTAGAGCTGTCGGTAAGAGCGATCAAAATACGGCGTAGGTGTATTTTGATTGCGTTGGTTAGTTTCTGGTGTAAGTTTTTTTTCTTTATAGATTGCTATACCGGGTGTGTCTCAAAAGTGGCTCACCCCTATAACTTTTTTATTTTTTCAGATAAAAATACGAGATTTAGTATGTTAGTATATGACATAAATTAGGATTGATTGACGTATTCAATTGTTTTTGATCACTTCCTGTTTCACCGGAAGTGACGCAACACAACTTTTGATTTTTAAATGGCAGTCTCGGTTTTTTTACTTTATTCGAAAGAAAATGACATTCTGAATAGAATGACATATCATATGTCAACTTTTGACATTCTCGCTTAAAACAAAATTGAATTTTAAAATTCAATCTAGAGTGATTAATCCATGGTTATGTTAAAAACACTAATTCTTAATCAAGAAGCCTTGAAAAAATAGATTTGATTGTCTAATGTTTTTAGTGTCTTGTCCTGGCCAGTTAGAAAATGCTCAAACCGTATTTTTAATCATATCTCAATTTTTTTCAAATGGAACGAGAGTGGCTCATTAGCATATTTGGAAAAAGTATTTTTTTACGAATAATTTGGTACCACACACTTGGTATTTCGAGTCAAATTTTCGTTACGAACCGGAAGTTATAGTTTCAAATAAACCATATGCGAAAATGTCAAAAGTTGACATATGGTATGTCATTCTATTGAGAGTGTTATTTTCTATCGAATAAAGTAAAGAAATACCGAGGATGCCATTTAAAAATCAAAAGTTGTAGTCATTTCCGGTGCAACAGGAAGTGACCGAAAGCAATTGAATACGTAATTCAATCCTAATTTATGTCATATACTAACAAACCAAATCTCGTTTTTTTAACTGTAAAAATAAAAAAGTTATAGGGGTGAGCCACTCTTGAGACGCACCCGGTAGATTGCACGCGAAATACCCGATCGATTTTGTAGAACTATTAATGTAGTAATAATGACTTATTTTTTTAAACATAAAATGCGTATGATGGTAGTACAATTTGGAATCCGTTTTTTCTATTTTCAGGGAATGCAGTCAATAAACCAAGGTTTCTTCGTGCACTCAGAAAAGGAGCAAATGTTTTGAGAGCATCTATGCCAAAAATTAAGGACGTAAATATTATTGACACATATTCTCGTATAGTTTTCCCCATTACTTTTTTAATTTTCAATATTGCCTATTGGTTATTCTACATGTTGGACTGACTAATTTACTAAGATGGGACTAAAATGAAAAAAAAAACTATCATAGCTACCAATTTGCTCTGTGGTGTTATTTTCTTTGCTTAATGTAATTTATATTAGGTTTTTAAAATATCAGATTGATATTGACGTGTATTAGTCTTTGTGTTAAAAGTTGGCTAAACAGTGATTTAGTAAGCGTTCATTCGTAAATAGATGTTCCCATATAAGTGTATAAAGTGTTATCAGTTTGTTAATACGGCAGTTAAAACCATATTTAAAAGTTTTAGCAGAAGGAGAATTATTAAATTAAAAAAAATTACTTGTTTTCTAATTCTTGGTTGAACTAGAAGATTATACAGAGTGACTCGTTGTTCTAAAATAGATCTGAATCAGATTTTATTGATATTTTCACACCAATACTTTTACGAAATATGCGGACAGTGATAAGCACTATTTAAATATATTCTAATAGATTTAAATAGTGGTTAATAAAGGGTGATTAGAATTAGTTTTATTTTTTACTTTTATAATTTGGTTTTAAAAAATTGAACGACTGTTATTAAAAATTACAATAAATGTAGTTTTTATCATAATTAAATATGATAAATAATACGATATAAAAATGATAAATAATTTTTATATCGAATATCAATATTTATTAACTCACTTTCAATTTTTACAATTATAATCTTTAGCTACATCTTACATCGGTATACATCGTAGTTGTTAATTTTAGTAGCAGATAAATTTGTCTGGTAACCCAAAGGGTGGCTTGAGCCCCCGAAGCCCCCCCCCCCTCCGTAGGTCCGCCACTGATTTCATTTCAAATGGAGGGGTATTACATGTATATTTAACTTATTCTCTATATAGGCTTGGTGCATTCTCAGCCGGTGCTGCCACCATCGGAGAATATCGTAAACAATCGGTATATACAAATACACTCGTATAAATAAATAGCGAGTATACGAAAAAAAAGTTATATAATTGTTCTAAAAGTGTTAGGAAGTACAATTTGTGAAAATTCTAAAAGGTTTAACCTAATAAAACTTTTTAGATGAGTTCAACTACGGTAGCAAGCATAGTTTTACACACCGGTTTTGCTAGTGGGGACATATCTTGGGCTATTTGGGCTATAACGAAATTTTTTTGAAGTTACATAATTCTAATTTTAGAAGATATTCATAAAAATTTTAAGCACTACTTAGTTGATTAAAAAGAGTATACCATTAATATTGCCAAATTATATTTTATTCTCTCATAGTATATGCCCATTTAACTTTTTGATTATGTAATGGGCACTTTGTTTACTCACTTGTTTCGTCGAACTGCTTGAATCCATTTTGCTTTTCATCGGTATGAGAAGCTGTGAAGTTATAAATGAAGAAGCTTAAAAGTGATAATCGAGAGAGTTGAATATCCGGGAAAGTCGAGTTATTGAATATTATTACGCCCAACAACCACTTAATTATGACCTCCTTTACGCATTAACATTTTTTCGGCAATTTTATTAACATTTGAAATTGTCATTACATAACGCGACGCCCAGTTCTAGTTCTGTGTCACTTAATTTATCATATACTAATATTAGTCGTAGCGGTAGAACCCAAATACACGAAAAACGTTTCAAATAATGATAGAAGCAAACCACTTGGTATAGGTGGTATATACACATAAACAATCGATTTGACCCGCAGCACCTTATTGCAAGTGGAGGCAAATTCAAAATGGCGGCGTTTTTTAGAATTACTGTTTTTTTTGTTTTTTTTTGGTTTTTTTAAGTTTTTTAACCGATTAAATTAATAAACGTATTTTGAATTCAAATGCTAATAATAATTAAATAAAGGATTAATACTACACTAAGTAAATAAAATTCAAAATGGCGGAATTTAGTTCTGTATTAATTAGTAGTTGCGAGATAATTCTCTATCACCTACGCGCGAGATATAAGTTTTGGTTCAAATCCAAAATTTATTACGAGCAGCAGCGCACCAAGAAAGTAATTGTGAGAAGACCCCGTTCCGTCCCCCCTTCCCCTCCTGTCCCCCAAACAAAAAAAATCCGAAGAAAAAATATTAAATTTCATATAAAATATAAACCTTTTACATTAAGTATTGTTACGAATTTACTCTATCCGTGGGTCCCAATAATTCAAAACACTCATTACAACAACGACTTGACTTTATTAAATCCAATTATTAAAAATCCACAATAATTATTTTACAATATCTCAATTATTATTCATAACTTTATTGTACAACGTAAAAACTTAAACTAACTAAAGACTAAACGCGTCCGCCTTTATCTTCCGAGAACTGGTCAGTGAAGTGATCCAGAATGATCCAGAATCATGCGATGGCATTGTTTACGGTGGTGCAGCTCTTGTACACTTTGTCATTCCCCGTTTTAGCAAAACATTTCAAGAATATTTTGAACTGGAGCTTAAATATTATGTTGAAAAAGATGCTGCAAAATTGGGAGCAATGCGCATTGATATTATTTGGGATCAATATGTAATTGATAGCCTTAAAAATAGTGTCCGTGACGAACGAGGACATGGAATTCGCCGCCAAGTAACCGGCCTTACTAGACTTCCACCAAACTGGCCAGATTTCTTAAAAAAACAAAAAAAAATTGGACATAACATTAAAACAAACCATTAAACAAAATTGATCTCTTCATTTTTTTAGCAAAATCTTTTATTGCAGTAGAAAGCAAAATAGTATATGTATCAAATATACGTGACATAATTTACTTATCAGCAAAGGCAAACGCATTCCTTAATGGTGTAAAATCTAGTACTAAAGAAGAAGCAGATGGCAGAATAATATTACATTTAAAGGATGCGGTGCAGCATGGGTCTCAGAACGTGGTAGGCGAACAACGATCAGTGCGAACATACTGATGCACTAGTACTATGTATAGTTTTTTACGTTTTTTACAATTTAAATCTCTTGGTCTCCAGAATACACAAATAACACAATTGGCCTAAAAAATCATACTTTAGATGCTCTTGGCGACAAGGCTAGCGCTCTTCCTGGGTTTCATGCTTTTACAGCATGTGACACGGTGTCTTTCTTTTCTTACAAAGGAAAAAAGTCTGCCTGGAAAACATGGAATTCGCAGAGCGATAAGGCAACCAAAGCTTTTCAAGCGATTTAAAAATAAAAAATTTCCTGCGGAAATGCTTGATTTTTATTTTCCATTTGTTCCTTATTATACAGGATGTTCCAGAAATAAGTGCAAATATTTTAAGGGGTGGTAGATCTCGATAAAAGAAACATAATTTCTCTTTATCGTTTTTCAAATAAGTCCAAAATAACGGAGTTATTTTACTTTGAAAATTTCCAAAAAAAAATGATTTTTTGCTAAAATTTTGAGGGATTTTTTTTCTTGTAAATTTAATCTAATACCTATGTTGCCATATTATCAAGAAATTATGTTTTTTACCTAAAAACTAAAAAAATTTCCAAAAAAATTTTTCAAAAAATTTCGAATTTTCAAAATTTTTTTTTGCGAAAAAAACCTCATAGGCATGTTTCTGGGGTTGAACTATACTACCAGTTTAAATATTTGCACTTATTTCTGGGACACCCTGTATTATCGGGTCTTGTAAAGTATAAGTACCCACAAATTTAGCAATTTTTTTTTGACAGAAAGTCCTATGCTTATAGAACAGTTTAAAAGAAAAAAAATCATTTAAAAGTGTCTAAAATGCTAACCAATCTAAAATTATTTTAACAAATCAAAAAAATTATTTTTAACAAATCTAATAATATTTTTACAAAATCACAGTTAATTATTAAAATATAAAAACCACAGCTTAACACCCTCCACGAAGAAAAGCTAACCAAAGCAACCCAAATCCTAACCAATCAAATAATATTCTTGCAAAATCACAGTTAATTATTAAAATATAAAAACCACAGCTTAACACCCTCCACAAAGAAAAGCTAACCAAAGCAACCCAAGAGCTAACCAATCTAATATTTTTGCAAAATCACAGTTTATTATTAAAATATAAAAGAAAACTGCATGATCCAATGATTTTTTGTTTTGAATCAGCCCTATTTACGTAAATCTTTAATAAAACACAAGAATAAGAGCAACATTCCGAGGTGCTTATAGTTTACAAGAACTTATATTATATATCTATTCTACAAGAATTGTTATTACTCTGAAAGATGTTTTACCCCACCCAGCACCCCTATTTGCTCCCGGGTTCCGTAAGCTTCTAAACTGCAAAATATATGAAAAACAAAGTGCACAAAATGACATTGACACATTTCCGCAGGATTTTTTTTGTATTGCCTTGCTCGTAAAGGCTCGTATAAAACAAATATAAGTTCATTTTTCATGTAACTGATTTCGGCTATACTAAAAGTCCGAAAAATGAAAATGACGCATTTCCGCAGGAAATTTTTTGTATATTTGTACTCCTAACGCCTTCTAGAACGCATATATAAAGTCATTTTTTATATAACAGATTTCAGCTAAAGGAAAGTTAAGACCTATTTTCTCAATAAAATAAAAATGCACTCTATTTCAGAAGCTTTGGTGGTAAGAAATAAAAATAGAATAATGCACATCTTTATTCCACTGAACCAAAATATTTTCTTGTAATGTTAGATCTATGTTTTAGCAATTTCCTTACCATTCTTATCAGAAAATAAGAAGTCATTATTGTATTAATTTTATATGGGGACATATATCCGATTATTAGCTGATTATACGCTAACACGATTTGTAAAACTATTTATTAGTATACTACTGTAGTTGAATCGCGACTATGGTTGAAGTGTATTTTTCAAACAAAAACTTATTCCGGTACGAAATTGGTTTTCATGTGTGAAATAGTAGCTGTGAAATAAAATATGTAGGTACAAAGATTTTCCAATTTTGATCGTCATTATTAAAACATACAGGGTTATAAACTATAAAAGGCCTCTTTTGTTGCGTTTAATTATTTTATAATATTTTACTAAAACTCTACGAAATGTATTGAACAAATTACAAACTTAGTAAAAAATCAGTAATTATATACACATTACAATTACTAAAAGATAAGGTTATATGGATATGTAGATATTATTTACCTAACCAATTTATTTAATTCTAATTCATGTATATTTATTTTTTTCGTTATTGTGCATAATGTATATATTTTTTTAAGATCAGACATTAATATTTAGTGTATCTGTAGTCAAACTTTGTTTAGAAATTTTATTAATAATTTGTCTATGAAAGTATATACCAGCGGCGTGCGGTGACAATCATAGGCGGGGAAGCGAATCGGTAAAAAAACTTATTTCGAGACATTACTTTTACATTTTCTTTTTTTCTTATATGTACATATTATATACGATTATCCAAACTATGTTCAATTTGAATTGTTCCAAAAGTTTTTTCTTTTATAGTAGCAGTTAAATGTCCTTTACTATTGACATGCCTTTTTACACTTTTGTGAAAATTATTTAAATCTGTAATCCTGACTACGTTCCAGTTAGTTTTCTCACTTATATTAAAAAAGTAAACAGGGCCAACAAAATAATTTGGATAATTTATTGCAGCCGGTTAACCACTCATATTTGTCGTAAAACCCAACATGAAAACGTCTTGTGAATTTTTTTACCGACTTCTCCACTCTGGCACACCCACTCTACTCTTTTACTTAAGCTGTGACTCTGGTCTCTAAATTGATAGGAACCGTTGGCCTACCAGACTTAGAGGAGAAGGTACAAATATGGGCTACCATTTTGTTCTTTTACCATATTTTGCTTAATTTTTATGTATCTGGCACTTTTTTATTCTTTCTTATGCAAACAAAACCAACCTAACATTATATTAACTGCTTGCTATTTTATTCTCAATACTTTCTCAGATTTTAATTTTGTTCATATACCAAAAAACCATTCACCATAAAAGTGATACAATTATGGGCTACTCTGAAAAAAAAAATAAAAAAAAAATGTAACGTTTAATTAAGCATTATATTAATGAAAATTAAAAAAAAACAAAAAGTAACAAAAAAATTACAAGCTCATACAGTACGGCAAAAATCACAAATATATTCGTCCTTATCGGCATCCGCACAGTCAACATGCCCCCACATGTTGCACATTAAGCATTGAATCCAGAGTTCACCTTTGCGGTCTTCTGAAAAATTTCCTTCACAAAATATGCACTCAGCATCTAAGTCATCTGGTTTCTTCTGTCCAGGAATATCATCTGAATCTAAGTCATCATCCGCTGGCACAAACTCTGTTTCCTCGTCTTCACTTTCAGATATTTTTTTTTGGTTTCCGTTTGTTAGATATTTTGTCGGCTGACTGAGAAAAAACACTTTTTCTTAGCGCCCATAGCACTTTGTTTCATTTTTTCGGCAGTGCTTAGCAATTCATTTTTGTAAGGAGAAGAGGCAATTATCGTCGCCCCTGAAGATTTTCTACCCTTATTGGAACTAATCTTCTTAGATATTCGCACTGGTGAAATATTAAAGGGAGATATCACTTTCTTCTGCATCCCAGATGGCCCAGGTTGTGCGTCGACTCTGGTCGGTGGCTGTGTATCTGATTTAGATGTACCTGGTTAATCATGTTTGTTTAAAGGCAATTCGGCTGAACGGATCAACGAGCCAGTCAAGTCGTTTTCAGCAGTGCAGTTTACTTTTTCTGTTTCAATTTCGGCAGCCAGAAAGTCCATGTCTGAAAAGATATTTCGGTTCAACGGGAAAATTCCTGTTGCACTGAATCCTTTCACTGCAATTTCTCCAGTCTGTGTTTGAAGATAGGCCTTTCCCAAAAGTTCGCCGATATCAAATTGCGATAAGGCCCGATGGTTGTGACGAATCCATTGCCTAATCTCCTCACTGTAGTAAGTCTTTAAAGCCCCCATAAAAGTTTTGTCCAGTGGTTGCAATTTATGGGTTGATTGGAGGGGTAACGAGACTATCACTACGTTATTCTCTCTTGCCATGTTGACAACGTCCAAATTACGCGTATGGCTATAATGTCCATCCAAAACTAGGAGCATAGGTGATGTTGGAGATGGTTTTACCGTGTTTATAAAATGTCTAAACCATTGGGAAAATAATGAAGCTTGAACCCACCCACTAGGATGACCGGCAGAAATGGACCCCGGTGGAGTACCCTTCATTAGTTGAATATTCATGTTTTTCCGAGGGAATATCAACATCGGCGGCACAAAATCTCCTCCAGCACTCATGCAGGCTATCAGCGTGATTAAAGAGCCCCTCTCCATGGATGTTAATGAGGCAATTTGTTTTTTACCCTTACGGCCAATTACTTCTGCGATTTTATTCTGCACAACAGTCAAACCAGTCTCATCCACATTGAAAACACGATTAGCTGGGAATTTATATTTTGCATACAATTCCTCTAAAAGCGTAAAAAAATTGTGAACAGATTGTTTATTAAACCCTCTGGCTCGCGCGAAAGATGTTGGCTTTCTAATTGATATATATAGAATATTTTTATGTCTTTGAAGGAATAGATCCAACCAGCCTCTTCCTGCCGCCTGCGTAATTCCAAAAGGATGTTTGAAGCCATTTTGTTCTGCTAGGCAAAATGCCATACGCTGGATATCTTTGCGTGTCAGACCGTAAAATTTGGCTTCCATTTCAAGAATATACTGAACTAAATTATTTTCCAAATCTGTGTTTAGGATTGTTCCTCGACCAAGCTTGATTTTAACAACCTCGTCCACACTAAGATGTTCCATTTTTGCTAATCGTTACACTGTAGTTCTTGGGACCCCAAATGTTTTGGCTGCTTTTAGAGTACCCATAGCTTTCTCTCTTACTGCACGAACAGCCCTCTTCATATTCTCTGCATCCCATGTTTTTCTCTTTTTTGGATTTGAACCTGGTGATACTACAGCTGTTTTGCGTGGCATTCTGAAACAAGACATCAGTTTTCAATACTGCTTCAAATATGGGTTAGCCCATATTAGAAGCGGAAAGGTAGCCCATATTAAAAAATAACCTCACAAAAATTAATTGTCTCATAAATATTTTATATTTTAAGATTCCATAATTTGAAAGTGTTAATCTAAAAATACGAACCTTACGTCAAATCTGGATCAATAAAAAATAAGTGAACCACTAAAAGTGCGGATTTATAACGCTTCACAATCAACACTCTTAAATCTCCGAACATGGCAAAATGTCAAAATAACCCTGCCAGAGTTCCACACGCGGGAAGCGAATTACAGTATTCAATAATCGGTATCTTCCATTGAAACATAAATAGTTGGCACGTTTACCGTTAGATGCCTCCACTTATATCAAAAATGACAGTGTAGCCCATATTACATGCCTAGCCCATATTTGTAGCTTCTCCTCTACTAATGTCACTTTTTTCTTGGAAGTTCTGACTAGAAAATTCCTTTTTTAATAACACACATACAACACAAACACAGTCTAAATTACTGTCCACGCTAGCAGAAGCAGAAAATTGTCCTTCTTGACCCTCCATTACAAACCAAATAGTAAGCACTAAGTTATATCCGAAAAAAATACAATATCTACATATATAAAATCCTAATGTTTATCTGTGTCGTCTCTACTGAAGTAACGACTTGCTCTAGGTTGCTTTTTTATTAAAAGATAGCTAATTGGCTCTTCTAAAAACTGTCGTCGCCGGACTTTTTGTTTTTCATTTAATTAAAAAAAAATAAAAAGTTTTTTTTTCTCATGTCGTGGCGGATGCGCCAGGCTTCAACTAGTTACCTAGAAAATCGCAAGTGAACCCGTCCCGATAAATTAAAAGTCGCGGAAGGCGGAAAGCGGCATAAAGATCGCTGCCGTGGCTAGCAGCTGTGCCCGATTTTCCGGCTTAAATTTCCGGCGGCGATTTCCAGGCGCGCATCAATGCAGTAAAAGGCTAATTAAATTTACTACGTTTATGTAAGGTTTCAAATAAATAATTTTAATAAATTAAATTAATCTTTTGTTATAAAATAACAGTATCTATTATTAACGTTTAACTATTTATTTTTTTATCTTTAAAAAGTTTAGGGAAGCGGCGCTTCCCCCGTTTCCATGGACCGCACGCCACTGGTATATACGTTACTTAGTGTATTATTTCAAAGAATATCCGTTCTTTTTCTTAAACATAAATATTTTCCAGTTGCTGTGATTTATATTAAAGTTGTTGTTATTCCTGCAGTATATTATAATATATAATATAATATTCTTTCTATAAAACTTGCAACAAATTTACTATTTTTGGATATGGTAAATGTAACAAAATATTAATGTTAAACAAAGAAATTACAGTCTATTTTTAGTAAATAGAATGTCGTTACATAAAATATAATTATTTTGTTCAGATCAATTATTTTTGTGAATAATAAAAATAAAGATAATAATTTAATAGTTTTTTTATACTTTTCTAATGTAGAATGTAGAATGAGTGGAAGGGGGCTTAATTACTGCGACTTTAAAGATATGACTCCCACACCACCCGTGATACATGACCACAGACAGTAGAGCGTGCCTGGTATGCCGGACGCATATTCGGAATTCGCCGACACATGAGGTGGCGGTATTTGTACTAAAAAACAAAAATACTCAAAACCGAACGTCACTTCGGGCATGTTCGTTTGTCCTCAAAATTCCTATTTTGAGAAGTTTGGCCCGACTTTGTCCTGGTTAACGTATTAAATCTGTCAACGCCGCATACTTTTCAATCTTGTTTTGTTTTTGAATTTGACAGGATTAACCTCAGACAGAGATAACTACGAGATGCCCAAGTCAATGTGTATAACTGGTTCTCTAATAACTATATATAAAAATCCAATGACGGACCCGTTGAAGCTGGAGAGCCTTGGCGCTGCGATCGGCGCTGAGCGATTCAAAAAGCGCGCCTTTATTTGAATTTAAATATTTTTATATATATATATATATATATATATATATATATATATATATATATTATTAGTTATTATATTATATATACGAAAAATATATTAAATATATAAATAAATAATATTTTCTTGCCCTTAGCTGTGTATTTTTTCTAATTTCAGAAAAATCGAAAGTAGAGAAAAATTTAAAAAAAATAAAAGTAAAAAGATTAATTGTTTTGCTTGTCGTAAGAGGCTGAAACAAGCTCCACTCCACACAACCGGTTTCTGGGCCTACCTCTTCATCAGGTGGGGCTGACCAGGGGCTGGCTCTCACCGATACGGCAAGCAAAAACTTCTTCTATATCAACAGACGATGTCGTAAAGTCTCAGTGAGATATTAGTGCATCTCCCTGTCAAAAAGATGGTAAAGAGCGTTTTTCGGCCCGCTCAAAATAACAAAGAACAGGATGCTGCCGAGTGTCGGAGAGGTATTATGCATCTCCGTCAAGATGGTAAGAGTTTTTCGGTCCGCTCAAATATATGAATGAACAAAACTCTTACAGCTTTTGAGTGTATACACAGTAATATTTTTCTTGCCCTTAGCTGTGTATTTTTTTAATTTCGAAAATCGAAAGTAGAGAAAAATTAAAAAAAAATAAATAAAAAGTAAAAAGAAAATTGTTTTGCTTGTCGTAAAGGGGGGAACCAAGCTCCACTCCCACAACCGGTTTCTGGGCCTACCCTTCATCGGGTGGGCTGACCATGACTATTTACTTTTTATTTATTTTTTTAAATTTTTTCTCTACTTTCGATTTTTCGAAATTAGAAAAAATACACAGCTAAGGACAAGAAAATATTATTTATTAATATACACTAAAGCTGTAAGAATTTTGTTCATTTCATATATTTAAGCGGGCCGAAAAACGCTCTTTGCCATCTTTTGACGGGAGATGCATTAATATCTCACCGACAGTTTACGACATCGTCTGTTGATATAGAAGAAGTTTTGCTTGCCGTATCGGTGAGAACCAGCCCCTGGACAGCCCACCTGATGAAGGGTAGGCCCAGAAACCGGTTGTGGGAGTGGAGCTTGGTTCCCCCCTTTACGACAAGCAAAACAATTTTCTTTTTACTTTTTATTTTTTTTAAATTTTTTCTCTACTTTCGATTTTTCGAAATTAGAAAAAATACACAGCTAAAGGCAAGAAAATATTATTTATTAATATACACTAAAGCTGTAAGAATTTTGTTCATTTCATATATTTAAGCGGGCCGAAAAACGCTCTTTGCCATCTTTTGACGGGAGATGCATTAATATCTCACCGACAGTTTACGACATCGTCTGTTGATATAGAAGAAGTTTTGCTTGCCGTATCGGTGAGAACCAGCCCCTGGACAGCCCACCTGATGAAGGGTAGGCCCAGAAACCGGTTGTGGGAGTGGAGCTTGGTTCCCCCCTTTACGACAAGCAAAACAATTTTCTTTTTACTTTTTATTTTTTTTAAATTTTTTCTCTACTTTCGATTTTTCGAAATTAGAAAAAATACACAGCTAAAGGCAAGAAAATATTATTTATTAATATACACTAAAGCTGTAAGAATTTTGTTCATTTCATATATTTAAGCGGGCCGAAAAACGCTCTTTACCATCTTTTGACGGGAGATGCACTAATATCTCACCGACACTTTACGACATCGTCTGTTGATATAGAAGAAGTTTTGCTTGCCGTATCGGTGAGAGCCAGCCCCTGGTCAGCCCACCTGATGAAGGGTAGGCCCAGAAACCGGTTGTGGGAGTGGAGCTTGGTTCCCCCCTTTACGACAAGCAAAACAATTTTCTTTTTACTTTTTATTTATTTTTTTTAATTTTTTCTCTACTTTCGATTTTTCGAAATTAGAAAAAATACACAGCTAAGGGCAAGAAAATATTATTTATTAATATACACTAAAGCTGTAAGAGTTTTGTTCATTTCATATATATATATATATATATATATATATATATATATATATAGCAGCATATATATATATATATATATATATATATATATTATAATACCAAATAAAAGACTAATATAAGAATTAAATTATTTATTAAGATATAAAAAAATAATATTTTCACATATGTTACAATAAAATGATCATTTTAAATATACATAATAATAAATAAATGGTACAAGGAAATAAAACAAACATTTGAGATACAGATGTTGCAGTAAAAAATGGAATATCCGCTTTTTTTTCATATGAAAAAACCATGACATCAGGGAAAAAGCTTCACGTGCCATATGCTTAACGCACGTTAGGGTCCACGTGGAAAGACACAAACATTCAGCACGGCGAAACAACGTGGCCGCATCCGAAACTCCTTCCAAAGAAAACTTTTCAATACATTGAAAAATTTTTATCCAGTGTCCATCCTTGAAAAAAAGTATTATTAGATGTGAATGAATTAGGGTTTCCATACATCCGGATTTGGCATGTTTGAGTTTTTATGGTGTCTGGGGTATTATGCGATTAAACTCTTTCACAAAATTATTTAGTTTTTATGATCAGATTTACCGTATTTTCTTTCAATTTCCGATTGGATTACCCTTAAAATCGATCAGACACCTTAAAAGATTTATAACTAAGAATTTATTTTGAATTTTAGCGCGTCAACTGCACTGGTATATTTATAACTGCCCTCTCTAGGCCACTGCCGCCGGCTTTTATACCGACAGGTAAAAGAAATCTAGAATAGTCCAAAGATCGTTAGGCGCATAGAGAAGGTTTTCGAATGTTCTCGTATGTACGAGTCATTCTAGTGGGTCTCGATTCTTCTCGAACGAATGAATCATTGCGGTGTCTGTGCGATGTTAAGGTCATCCGAGGGCGGGCCATATTGTGAGGTTAGGTCGAGTCCACACCGGCTCGCAACAGTATAATTAATTGCAGTATGCCATATATGAATTCTAGTATAAGACCATATGAGGAATACATTTTTTTATTTGAAAGTGGCAGACAAAGACATATTACGAAATAAAATATCTTCTTTAATTAATATTATATTTAATGTTGAAATTTTGTACAAAAAATCAACATTAAATAAAGACAATGAAACTTGAAACTAATAGATATTTTATTTCAGCATATTAATTTGTTGTTTATTGAAATTGCTGGGATATATTACCCCATGTCATTTTCCTTAGGAGTGCATATTCCTTTTCAATACTATCCTACAATTGCTTCTTGGTCATGTTGCTCTAAAAACTCAAGAGCGTATATTTGTTTGATGACATATGTTTATGTTAACCCTGATGGTGCTGCAATTTGTTTTAGAACATAGTTCACCTAGAAAATATTGTACTGGTTATGTCATTTTTTTTATGTAATTGTGATATGTTTTGATCTGTAATGTGTTCTGTAATGTGAGCTGTTTTCATGACAAATTAAAAATTTATTCCTCTTGGTTTAAGATATAAACAAACATAAACAATGAAAATTTGAAATCTTTAGTTTGATAGTTGTTAATGTTGACTAAATATCATATTAAAAGAAAATAGCCATCTATTAAGAATACTGATATTTTATATGCTACACCAAGGATATTTTTATACTTAAATACTTCTATTAGTATTTCTTGAAAAAATATTATAATCTACAAAGTCCAATGAAAAATATCGAATTTTGGATTGTAGCATTATTTCAGAAAATCATAGTGCGTTGGAACAGTGTAGAACAGATGGTTGTATGAACATCAGCATTTTCTACAATACTAAATATAATATATTTATTTGGTATTTTAGTATTTGAGATTAATTCTATAAAATTTATTGTTCGTTCTTAATATAAATGTTTGTTTAATTAATTCACGGTTATTCACCTCATTAGACACGGAGTAATGTACTGTAGCCAAACGATTAGATTTTTACAAATTGCAAGTTTTGGATTTGTTGTAGGACTATTTATAATTATTTGCAACAAGTACAGTGTACTAAATAAATAAAAATATAACACTAGTTAAGTAGATGTAAAAGAGGACTAATTAATACGATCTCAGTATTCGAACTACATACATTAATTGACTATTTGCGTTGATTAATAATTGCTCTAGTACTAAAAAACTGAATTTTGTATGTGTATTAGACAATGTGGTAAAAGTAACACCTTCTAAATTTTATGTCATTTTTTGATAAATGCTTATTTATAATAACAGAGACGTTCATATTCATAACTTATTAATATATTGATTTTTCTGATTCAAATCTACATTTATTTATAATAATTTATTAACTAACATAATTAAATGTGATTAATTAATATTTGGGCGGAAATAATGGTGGTATATTATTTAATTAATGGTACACTCTTTTGCATAGATTTAAATAGTTATCTCTTTGTAAACAAATGGGCTAGCAATATTATCGTTTTTAGCATCGGTACAGTCTAAAATGTCAATATTATAAGAAAATGCATTTTCTATGAGAATTTGAAGATATCGGTAAAACGTTATATAATACAATTAAATTGTGCATCTGATTGACATAAAATATACAGGGTGTTCCATTTAAATTAAACAAGTTATTGCCGTTTAAAGCTAGTAATTATTTAAAATAAATTTTAATATAAAATAAAATTTTTAGACACTCTGTATAAGATAGGTTTATTTTTATTACTGCAACACAAAATTTAGAAAACAGAAAAACTTCAGTACAATATTTGGTTTTAAAAACTTAAATACCCCTAGAGAAATAAAGTATTAAAATTGTTACTGCATTTTTAGGTGAGATAAACCTTAATCAAAGTTATCTTTATTTTAATTGTAGAAACTAAAAATTTCATAATATACATAGTGTTCCATTAAAAAAAATACAACATTGATATTTTTTATTTATACGGAACAATCTGTATCTTACAAAAATACGTTTAAATTGTAGCTCTAATAGTCCTTAAACAAACCCAAGACTTTTATAATTTGGAAAATTTCAAAATCTTTGGCTACAATACTCCGTGTCGAATGAGGTGAATAACCCTGTATAGCAAGATTACACCTTCGATGGTATTAATCTGAAAGCGCTGTTAGTTCTTTACCTAATTTTTGAGTTAATGTTATATTATCCTTTAAATTTATCCCACTATCTACTAGCACTTTTATTTTTCTGTTGGGTATAGACTCATAAGGTAAATAAGTATATAGATATTCTTGTGTGAATTTTCACTACCTTGAAGTCACTAAAACAAAGGTAATTTAATAAATGATTTTTCTCCAATATATGAAAACCAATATTGGAAGACAAAAAAAATAATTTACCAGATAGTCCGTTCTTTATGTTTTACCCTCTCTGATTGTATATTATCCTCTCTGATAGTCCTAACAGAAGTTGCAGTGAGGCTCCTTTACCCTATATTTCAGATCTTGTGACTGACGTTTCCTACAAATATAGGGAATATAGGATGTAAATTATTTTATATTACGCTTTGGGATTACCTATGAATGTCGGCAGTTTTTCTACATGATACAGAATGATGGTGCTTCAATTATGACAGAACATGAAGAAGATATACCACTTCTTAACCATAAGAAAAGCATGTTTTCCACAAGACAAGTGACGGATTCATTTGTCATACAGCTCTTCACCTCTTTTCCCTTTAGTAGTTTTGTTCTGTTTCTATAAAAATATCAGTTCATTCCACTTTAACTGTACCTACAAATTTTACATATTGTTGCGAGCCGGTGTGGACTCGACCTAACCTCACAATATGACTTTCTATCCACACGGAACCGACGAAAAACGTAACAATATTGCTGATCACCTCTATCTGCAACACGATCTTTTTATAAATACTTATAACTAAAAGAGATTATAAATACATGTGTAAAAGTTAATATAAACAATTACCTATTAAATTAAATATAAAATATAAAAAAATATACGTTAGAATATAACAAATTTATTTTCTAACTATTTTAAAATTGATTAGACCCGATTACTTAAAATTATGTACCAAAGTAGTAATAGGAAATATTTTGTTTAAACTAGGATGTTATAAATAAAAACAAAATAGTTTATATAAAGAAATAATAGAATATAAGCTTCTTTACTTACAACCATTTTTATGTTTTCTTTTTGAAAGTGAATTTTCTACACTGGTTAGTTCTTTTATAACTTGAAACACTTTTATTTTTTAATAGTGAATATTATTATTTTCAGGCCTATCTTCCATACATTTTCATGGTCATATATTTCTCTTGTCTAGCGAAACCTGATTATGCTGCAATGTTCAATTTTGTTATTAGTTCCATTAGAAAATAAAATACTGTACTTAAATAAATAACACAAACGACGAACTCTGTTTTTAAAAATTTTATTTTCAAAAACTACTACAACTAACAGCGTTCTGGTTGGCAAAAGAGTGACAAAAGAATGAATATAATTTCTCACAGAGAGTTTTTATAATATTTAAACTGATGATTAAGGTAAGTTATATTCGAAGTAAAGTCATGCTTCCACTGCGGTAATGTGGGTGGACGCCTACGTAACTCCTCCCTCCTCAAGCATCGAAAATAACCGAATTTATGTTCGAAGTACTTTGATGGAATTGATGTAGATCAATGGAATCGATTGGCTCAGTATCTTCGATCTTCTTCGGCTCTGTTCTACGATTGGTTCTCAATAGTTTCATCAACTTGCTTCTATACTTGAATATTACTAAGGCTATGACTGCTAGTAATATTCCTACGATGATATAGGGTGTTTCATTCTGCATGGTTGTATATACAGGGTCGGCCGGTGGAACTAATTGATTCGCCATATCTTTGAGTTTATAAATTTCTTCTAAGTTTATTTTGGCAATGTTGGGTGTCACCAAAACCTTTGAATTATTGACTATTGGCAATTCAATTGTTGGTAAAATCAATGGCTTCCCTTTCGTTATCTTGATGTCATTATAGAACTTCTTTTCGTTGATCTGAATCTCGCATGTTTCTGGAATCTTCACCAATATTGACTGATTTATTTCAAAGTATCGGTCGGATTCACATTTGGCAATGATTTTCTCAGGCTTCGTCGGTAGGATCAGGACCATTTCTCTAGTCACTTGTTCGGCAATGGGTTCCTCGATGTGGACTGTTATCGTTGGACAATTCTTCGCTTGTTGACCATTCAGTAAATCTTCAACGCATTGATCGTGTGGGTGGAACTTCTCGACGCAAAAATATGTTTCTTCAACCATTGGACATACTTCGGCGGCGAACTGTTTTCTTTCTTCGGTGTGTGCCAAGTAAGGGTAGTTTGGTATAAAAATGGATTGATTTTGGATTATTGGAAAGATGTGATAAAAGGATAAAATTTCGGGTCTCAATATTGGAATGTGTATTGCGAAAATTACTTTATTTTCGGAAAATTTCACTTGAGTCCCAAAAATTTGGTAATAAGAAAGAATGTTTTTGAATTTTGGTATTTCTAAAGGATTATACAGATGTCTTAGATAATTCAACATCTTTTGAAGTTCTGAACTCGAAAGAATACTATTATGTAAAGCATTTACTTTTGAGAACATTATTGCGTCTTCCAGATTGTCTAAAAATAGAATTAAAATTTGGCAATCTAGATTTAATTGGGTGATTACGCCTTGAAAACTAAGATATTCATTTAAGTTATTGATTGTCCCTAATGTAGTCGATTGGAATGATTTTAAACTAGTTTCTAACATATATTGATTTGTACTCAATGTTGAAATAGTTTTATTATAATTATCGATTAAGCCTTTAGAAAGTGATGTTTGTAATTTTATTTCATTGATTATATTTTTCTGATTGGATTCTAACGCTTTGATCGTTTCGTCATAACGCTTGCCGTCCTCAGAGTCTAATTAACCGAATAACCACTTATTTATGTGCCCTACTATATTAATCAGGCCTCTCATTCCTGAAGTGTGGTTGTAAGTTTCCAAGCTTATCGGAGGTCGTGCGTATTAAATATTCTGTTCTCAGGAGTAAATTTTCGGCAAGTCCATGATAAGATAGACTATTAGAAGCTTTTATAAAATTTAAATGAGTTTTTAAAATAGAAAAATATTGTTCAATCTTTTGCAACTTATTGATTAAGCCCTTAAATTCTACATAGTGCAAAAATGTATGCCTATTATATACTAATTTAGCGTCTCCTAAACGGATAGGAAGAATGGGGTTCTTAATGTTTGTTATTTGGACATCGGTCTCAAGCGTTGCTCTGGCTAGAAGTACCAGGAACAGCAGTATCGGTGTCATTGTTGCCCGTTTCGTCCTGAAAAACATTTATTTTGTTAGGTTTACGTTTAGGATGTTTTGCGCTGCTTTTATGGTAAAAAGTACCCTTATTTGTTTTAACTTTTATATCTGTTTGACCAGATAGTGGTACCTTTTTTAATTTCGGCTTATTTTTGGCCCGTGTTTTATTTTTTATATAAGCGACCTTTTGTTCTTCGAAATCGGGTGGGTCATTTCGATTTTCGTTTCTTTTATTGATAACATTTTCTTTCTGTTGCTCGTTGGTGGTCTTTATTTTCTCGTAAAGCATGTTCGATGTTTCTTTATGTGACTGCACGTAACTCGATATTATAGCGTTATCGTTCAACTCGAAAGGGTTTACTGACCTTATATGTCCAGTGATTATTTCGAACGGTGTAAACTTAGTCACACTATGTATCGAATTGTTGTAGCCCATTACAGCACGTTCCATTATTTGCTGAATATTTAAATCTTTATGTTCTTCTTTTACGCATAAATAGCTTTCTATGATGGTAGAGTGAAATCGTTCGACAGGAGAATTTGAGTTACTATTTTTGGGTGTTGTAAAATGAAGTTCTATTTTATAGAGCTTAAAGAAATCTTCCAAATCCTTATTTTTGAATTCCGTTCCTTGGTCAGCTGTTATTTTTAAAGGAAGGCCATGGTGCGTAATAAAATTATATAAATTTTCGACAACTTCCATACCGGTTACCTATACTTTTCATCGGATAGGCTTGTCCGTAACGAGAAAATGAATCTAATACTGTCACAAATGCATCAAAATTTATTCTAAATGTATCGATATGTATGTGTTCCAACGGTCTTGAGGCTGTGGGGGTTAAATTGAACTTAATTATTGGTGGATTTCTGTCATATTTGTTTTTCTGACACGTTTCGCATTCATTAATATAGTTTTCGATATCGTCGGATATTTTAGGCCAATAATATTGTCTACCTAATGCTGCCTTCATTTCAGTCATTCCTCTATGACAGGTTTTGGTCGTGTGATACATTTTTAATTTTTCTAGTTGGTCATCTCTTATTATTACATCTTCTAAAAAGTTGGTACAGTGTAATAAGTTGTATGACGAATTTTTAAATATATTTTGGAGTGTAACAGTTATTATTCGCATTATTTCAGGGTTCTTAGAATATACTGCGTAAAGTTGTTTAGGCTTAATATATTCTTTCATAAAAGAAACTATATTTGGTGTTGGGTCTCTTGATGGAATTGTTATATATATTCGGTTGTTTTCGAATATTTTTTCGCGTCGTATTTGATTTTCGGTTATAATATCGCCAGTTGTTATAATTATCTGATTTTTGTAGATATTTATTGGTTTTTCCGTGATAGGTATATTTAGTATAGGATCTTCGGCAGATGAGTGTACAATTTCTATGTCAGTTTCGACATTTTCTTGTACCTCTGGTGGTCTAATTTCTTCTTCCGGTGTTTTCGGTGGTTCAATTGGATTTTGTGTTCTTGGTGGTCGAACTTGTATGTCGGAGATTATATTGATTTTTGGTAATAAAATTTCGTTGATTGTTTTTTGATCTAAATATGGTAAATCAGTTGGTAATTCGTCTGGTAAGTCGTTATTACCAAATAGAAATTCATTAATAACATCGTTCGTGTCGCCTGGTTTGTTATGGACTGGTTCTGCGTCTAATGCATGTATATCTACAGGGTGTCTTGACAATGCGTCAGCTGCTTGGTTGTTTTTACCCTTTTTATATTTGATTTCGTAATCAAATTCCTCTAGCTTAAGTCGCCATCGTACTAAACGAGAGTTCGGCTCTTTCAGTGACATAAGCCATTGAAGTGGTTTATGATCTGTGTAAATAATGAATTTTTGTCCGAATAGATATGGTCTGAAGTACTTACAACTCCAAACAATAGCTAGCAATTCCTTTTCTATTGTTGAGTAATTTATCTCGGCGGGGTTTAGCGTCCTGGATGCGTAACAGATAGGGTGGTTGTTCTGTGATAGCACTCCTGAAATGGCATAGTTAGATGCATCAGTAGTTAACTCAAATGGTTTCGAGAAATCCGGGTATGCTAAAACGGGTTCCGAAGTTAAAATGTTTTTACAAGTATTAAAGCATTCTATGAATTCTTTAGTGTGTTCTACTTTGCACTCTTTCTTCAGACAACGAGTCATTGGTTTGGTGATTTTGGCGAAATTTTTTATAAATTTTCTATAGTATCCTAGAAGACTTAAAAATGATTTAATTCTTTTTATTGGGTCTGATACCGTCTGGCGTCACAACATGTCCGAGAAATTCCACTTCGCTTCGTAGAAATTCGCATTTATCAATTTGGATTTTTAGATTAGCTTCTCGAAATTTCTTGAATATTAACTTAAGATTTTGTATATGCTCTGTTAGACCTGTACTTACGACTATGACATCATCCATGAATACCATACATATTTTGTTTTGGACATCTTTTAGGACTTCGTCCATCACTCTTTGGAACGTTGATGGGGCGTTCTTCAGTCCAAAAGGCATGCGCATAATATATTCATAATGCCCGTTTTCAACAGTGAATGCCGTTTTCTCAATGGAATCCTTATGCATCTCAATCTGGTGGAATCCACTGGCAAGGCCTAAGGTAGAGAAATATTGAGCTCTTCCTAACTTGTCTAGTATGTCCGAGATGTTGGGTATTGGGTAACGATCTGAGATAGTTTTTTCGTTTATTTTCTTGTAGTCTACTACGATTCGCCATTTTTGTTTTTCTGATGCGTCCATCTTTTTAGGGACGATCCATATAGGGGACGACCAGGGACTGCATGATGGTCTTATTATTCCCTTTTCCAACATATCGTTTATTTGTCTGCGGACTTCTTCCTTATGCACAAATGGGTACCTGTAGGACTTAGTATATACAGGGATATCGTCTGTAGTTTTAATCTCGTGTTTTATTTTCGATGTGAATGTTAGATCATCGCTTGGTTGATAAAAGATATCAGAAAATTCTTGACAGAGTTTTCGAATTTCAGATTTTTCCTCTTTATTCATATGTTCAGTACGTAGTAAAGAAGATACATTTTTATCTAATTCGCGATAATTTGACTGGTCTAAATTTTGTTTAAAGTTATCTAAAGTAAACAGTTCGAAACAATTATTTTCAAAAGATTCTACTGCTAAAGGTTCAATAAGAGTAATAGAAATAGATTTGTCTGTTGGATTTTGAATTTCAACAACAGCAAAGCCATTTTTTGCGTTGGAAAGACTAGATTGTATTATTAGATTTCCTAGGTTCGATTGATTAATTATCACATCGCCCTCCTATACTGATACAGGAATACGTTTTAAAATTTTTTCATTTGGATTTATTGTTATAGAAAAATTTGTTTCGCTTGGTTTTCGATATTTAAAAGGGATTTCAAAATTTTGACACTTTAAAGTTTGATTGACTAGATCGATATTTAATTTCATCTTAATTAAATCGGTTAGCCCTATGACTATATAAATCGGTTAGCCCTTCGTCAAAGAAATCATGGAAATCGAAAAGGATAAAATTTATTTCGTTATCTTTAGAAAATTCTGAGAAAGCGGGTATTTTGGCTTCGAACTGAGTTTCCTTACTCCCTAAAGCTGTTTTAATAGTGTTATTAGATCTGTAAATATAATTTGGGTAATATTTTTCGGCTACCGTGGGTCTAAGTATTGAACGCGAGCTACCAGTATCGATTAGTAATTTGATTCTAGGGTGTTCGAGTTCAATGCATGGTAACGCCTTGTGAGACGATATGTTTATGTCGATCAAGGTTGGTTTTCGGCCTGGGCCGGGTTGGTAAAATTTCCGCTTGGGTTATCTCCACAGTTTGGGTCAATGTTTTGAATTTCTTCGATATTATTTTCCTGTCCGGGATAATTTGCTTCTTCTTCCGGATATGACTCGTAGTATTGTTGATCGCAATAATCCTGTAAGTATTCTTGTTCGTTTTCAGTACATTCATTCGAATGCAATTCCTCGAAAATGAGTTGGGGTGGATTGTATCTGTAGGGTTGTTGGTATTGTCCTTGGAAGGGTTGATTTAAATTTTGTTGTTTTGAAAATCCATTTGTATTTTTAACGCTTATCGACATGGGGGTCGGTTTTGTTCTCTGACTAGGGGTTATGGATCTTGGTGCAAAGACATTTTTCGGTGCTCCGAAAACTTCCCTATTTGTGAAAAATCGTTGGGGAGGTAATTGTCTAGGTGGTGGTAAATTTATTGGCTGTGATGGAAACGCTGGTTTAGTGTTAAAATTTTGTGTGTTAAATCGATTTGAGTTTGACGTGTTGAAATTTCCTGGGTTATTAAAATTTTGGTTGTTATATTTATTAAAATTGGGGTTTACGTTAAAATTAGGATTTCTATTAAAGTTACTTCCAAAATTGTAATTTGGGTTTACAGATTTTTGGTTTTGAAAATTTGGAAAATATGGATTATTTGAATTGTTTTGTGCAAAAATGTTTTGTTTATTTTGTACGTTAGAATTGTTATGATTTTGTGCACTATTCAAATTTCCGTATAATTTTTCGAAATTTTCAAATTCTGTGACGTATGCCATCGCGTCTTCGAGAGAGTTTGGCTGTTTTAGATGCATATTATTTTTCAATGTGTCTCTACAGCCAGCCATAAATGTATTTAAAGCTCTCTTTTCATAGTATTGTATATGACAAATTTTTTGTCGTTGCGATAAAGTTAAATCGTTACTAACTCTTTGAGCTGCATTGCTCCTGAGCAACTGAACTCTATTACCAAAAGTTATTAAATGTTCGCCTTCGTACGGACGTGTTCGGGTTAGTTCTTGGACGAGGCAATCGGTATCTCTACGATCCGCGAAACATTGTTGGAGGGCTGCCCTTAAAGAGTTCCAATCAGATAGCTCTGATCTGTTCCCTACCATAAGCTCAGCTCTTCCAATAAGCTTCTCTTGAATGCAATCAAAAATGTGAGAATCCAAATCCGAGCATTTCTGTGTTGCATATGTGTTTACTAATTTATTGCATTTTGAAATAAACTTATTTAGGGTGTTACTATCGCCGTCGAAAGGCTTAATATTTTCTAAACGAGATTTAAAAAGATCCCAATCGATGGTGATAGTAATTGTATCGTTATTAGGCATTTTAATTGATTGTTTATTACTAACGGATAATGTATTTAATGCGTTTACGAGATCGTCCACTTCACGCATGAAGTAAAGTACATCAAATAAATAAATTAAATTAATATTTTAGAAAGTCTCTTCGTATTCTCCTTCAATCACTATTATTCTTCAAGATTCGAGGACGATAATTATTATGATATTTAACTTTATTGTTCTCATAATACTAGCTATATTATAAAATAATTTTGAAATTATTTGCGCTTTCAAAATTAAAATATATATTTTTCCTTGTTAATAAACTAAATGTCTACTATAGACTGCCCTAAATATTAATTTTGTGTGCAGTACACCGCTTAAATTATTCCCAACTGAGTTCCTTGAACAGAGGATCAGAGGGAGCAAAAGGAATGGCACCTACCTTTGTGTAGTCTTCCGTTCCTTCCCTGATTCTTCGCCCTTTTCTGCCTTGGTTGTAGCGTTGTTCTTCGTCCTGGTTCGTTTGGATTGCGCCTTGGGAATTGGAGAACTCCAGCAGCACCTTTTCGAGTCCAAAAATGTCCGATAAACAGTCGCACTACTCTTGTTTTTTCGAAAAAAAAAACACTGCCGGACAATCCTACCGACTGCGCCACCTAAATAACTCAAATGACGAACTCTGTTTTTAAAAATTTTATTTTCAAAAACTACTACAACTAACAGCGTTCTGGTTGGCAAAAGAGTGACAAAAGAATGAATATAATTTTTCACAGAGAGCTTTTATAATATTTAAACTGATGATTAAGGTAAGTTATATTCGAAGTAAAGTCATACTTCCACGGCGGTAATGTGGGTGGACGCTTACGTAACTCTGTATTTATTTTTTCTCTACAAAATTACATAACATGATTTATTGTGCTGATGGAGCTGCAAAATATCAATAAATATTTTGAATATAAATTATTTATCGATATATGTAGTTTGATAAAAACTATTCCCATTTGATAAAGTGGACAAATATTCATCTAGTTTTGACGCACTTTATATATTCCCTGCAATATACAGTACCTTTGTATAAATCAAATGTAAGGACACTTTTATACATATCTACAATTTTGTGATTTTTAAATGTATAGAAAAGTTAATTTTTAAAAATGGCCATATTTTAAAAAACATTGGTATTATTTGACATATAAAATATTATTTTAAAATTTAGTGTAATATTCCCTGCATATTTTATAAAAAAATGGAAGTGAAACTATATAACACTTGAAAACGAGATATGAAGCTAATTTACACAACCCTGTATTTTAAATAACTGGGTAACGGCATCACAGAGAGTCATTCATAGAGCAGAAATAGTTATGTTTCAGTTCTATATCAACCAAATTTTACTATCATCACAAAACAACATAATTACAAAAGGCACCTTGCATTGTGTTATATTTTCAAAGTTTCTTGTCATATTTTTGATCTAATAAATACAAAACATTATTAATTTTTTTAATCCTCAATTATTAAAATATAGCTGATACTCAAAGAAAGTTAATATCTGACTCGAAAGTTTATAAACAGCAAATGTCGATCTACAAATAAAATTCACAAATGTGTTTTTAATATAGCATTTTTTAACAAGCTAAGCTGGGTAGCCTTAGTCAAAGAATATTGTATTTTCGTAGTAGAATTATCTTTGTCTTTTTTGTAATGGCTTCTCCCATCACCGGGAGAAGAAAATTTTATCAGTTTTATTGCAAGACTAAACAGACGTTTTAAAATATGTACTTACTTTTCAGTTTTTTGGAAAATTATGCATTTTGACTAAATTCTGGACTCATCTTTGTTATTTCCTCCATAGATCTATCAATACAACATTTTTCTTGAGCGAAATATAGGCCTTGTTCCCATGTTGGTCTTCAAATAAAAATTAACTAATTGCGTTGAAATATACTAATTATAGTGGTTAATAGACACCTCTGGGTAATTCGCGCAATATATAGGATATTAGTGATCACTTAAACACACATAATATTGCTAATACAACACAAATAATTTGGAAATTCGCAAGCGAAAAAATCAAATCGACAATCGATATATGATATGAGAATATGAGCAATGGCTGCCGCGGCATCGCGTAGAGCGGGACTAGCGGGAGGCGGGGACTAAACGGAAGCGGAAATAAAAACAGTAAAATATGTACCGGGTGATTTAAATTTGCGAAACAGCGCCCTCTCACTGCAGCTGCTAATTTTACAAGGAAGTTTGATCTGGCCAGAGATCCAGCAGATCTCATTTCCGTATGCGCTTGATCGTCTCGTGGTTGTCTCTGCCTCAGAAAAAGTTTAAAATTGTAATTTTTATAAACATTGACGAATAATGTTATGAATAATGTTATAGAACTGATATAAAATAATCCTTAAATCTTTACAAATGAAGCATAAACAAAATGATTGTGATAGCAACACAATTATCTTTGATAATGAGTTTTTTATATAAGAAATATCGTCTACAAAGGTTGAAATCTCAGGTATATATCTAGATAAAAATAGGTAGGTATTCAAACATAATCTGTAAAACGATTAACAATTTTTAGAAAACATTAAGCCATCCATAAATTCCTGAAAATAAATTAGCCGTGATTTTCAGAAAAAATGTTCTTAATTATTTTTTCCCGCATGATGTCCTTTCAGGTATGTGATATTGTTCTAATTTCAAGATCTATATGTAATTAGCTTACAAAAGTTCATTCTTCAGGAAGCAGCACGGACATTAGGCATAACAAGTAATTGTAAAAATATGAGCAAAAATGAGATGGTTTAAAAGAGTGAAAACTTTAAGGTTAGGAAATTTCAAACTCAAAGGGAAACAGGAAAACTGATTAAAAACTGATAACTAAGTACCATTAAACTGACAAGGTAAACTAGTAAGTATTTTATTATGAATCTATTTAGTATAACATTGTGTATTTTACAAAATGTATTTCGTTTAAATTACAGCTTAACGCATAATACAAAAAACAATTTATCATCTTTAAAACCATAAGGCATAGCCATAGGGTATATGATATATGAGATAGGTAGACAGTACATGGTAGGTACAATATGATCGAAAAAAAAACGGCGCCAGAGATGGCTATGAAATAAAGATCGATGTCTTTTACAGAGTCTTTTATATGTAAAATTATATAGGGAATGTCAGGGGAATGTCATGGATCGTCATTTCCAAGCCAACTGGAGGTCGTTTTTTTTTTATCATATGGGATATAAGTGTCAGTTTTGCTAGACCACAGACCTCTATTTATTAGACTTCTAGCACAAGGACATATCGGCAAGCCTTAGGTCAGTGTTTACATGGTGTGAATCGCTATGGTGATCATGTGGTGATCTAGTCGGAGATAGAAAAATGCCAAGTATTTATTACATAACCACTCAATCTGATGATTTCATATGTTTTATTCAATACATCTTATGTTAATAATAAGCATATTGACCATACTCTTCATATACATGAAAATCGGTACCAATGTCATGGATGGAATTTCGCCACAAGGCACATTTAAGAGGACTGATTCTTTAAAGGCATTTATTTTTGTTTTGCTATTTATAAATTCGTTAACTCATTTATTTTGTAGAGTTATTGAAAATTAAGATCTAGGATAGAAAAACCTGCATAGACACAACTTGGGTATTTTCGAATACTTTATTTAGAAGATCTTGATAGGACAATGATATAAGATTACAGAAAAATGCCTGACGTAGGTCAAAAATGTATAAAGTATTTTATATTTTTATATAAGTGTGTAAAGCGTTGTATAAAATAAATACATATTCTGTAAGGTTTCGAAGAATTTAAAGGATGGAAGATATTCAGGGTACCCTTCGGGAACAATTTAGATTGATACAGCATAAATTACAGTAAAGTCCGAACATTAAAGCATAAAGGTAAATAAATTATCCACAATAATAATAATTATTTACATATGTGCAGCAAAGTCGTAATATAATAAATTTATTGTTTTCAGAAACAAAACCCACTACTTATTCTGCCAAATATAAAGAGTACCTAGTAAAAAAACTTGTGTTTTATACTATCAATAACATATAACATGTACTTATTTTATGTAATAAATATTTTTTTAAATATGTATATATTTTTGGAATAAAATATTTTTAATCAGTTCTCAATCAATCTTAATTTATTTTTAAAAAAGGACATAAATACCTGAAAGGAAAAATGTTTAAGTTAGTGTGTCAAAATAATAAGTAAATTAGATATTTTTAGATAACCTGTATATTTAATTGGAAAAACTGATAAAATTTTATATATCTTTCAACTTAGAAATTATATCTGAATGAATTTTTACTCTAATTACTAAAAAACAAATATTACAAAATTAAATTATAAAAAAGTTTGCCAAATTGTCAAGAAAACAATTTATTTCTTTTAAATTTAAAAATTATGTGTAAACTAGGTTAAACTACGAGTTAAACAATATAGATAATCAATAAATTTTTGATAAAATTTGCTTTTTATGTTGTCAGATCATTTCTATGAAAAATACACTAGATAGAATACATTAAATTTTTATTAAATACGCTGGATAACTAAAACATTCACTAATAAACCTTGTCAAAATATCCCCCTTGGAATCTTTGTGAAGGGGTCAGGGGTGTATAATAAATTAATCCCTGTATTATAATAAAAACCATAAAACATTTATTTGTGAGTAAAATAATGCAATGGTTGGATATAAAACGGCTGTACTGGGTGAGTCAACGATAGAGCAAAATCCATTATATCATTTGTTTGGACGTTTACAAAAAATGTTAAATATAAAAGTTATAAGGAAGGTTATACAAGGTGCTTCAAAAAAGTGTGGCGGATATAACATATGTTTTTTTTTTAAATGCAATACCATATTTATTTTTAGATTCTGCATAAAATTCTATAACTTTTTCATATATAATGTTGTAATACCTAAAATTAATAGCTTTTGTAATATTTGAATTTGTTTAAACCAAAACATGTTTTCTAGATAATATACATCTAATCTTATAGTACTTAACAAAGTACTATAATATAATATATAGTACTGAACGAAAAGATATATTTTTTTAGCTTGTTCGTGTATATCGGTCTGAATAATTCATTTTCATGAAAATCTGTAACAATTCTTTACCATTTATACTTATTATAACAAATTAAACTAAAACTCAAATTTTGTTCTGAACTTGCTTAACAGACATGAAATTTTGATAATTATTACTTTTTGTCATGGCAACTATGATGTTATGGCGTAATTATTACGTATTAAAAATATGGGTAAAAATAGAAAAAAAAGGAATAAATCACAAACTATTAAAAATAGGTATATGACATACTTAATAAGAGTTTTGTAAAATATATCAGAAGAAACGAAAATAATTCAAATATTTTTATATACTATATAGGTAGGGTGTACCATTTAAAAAAAATAATTGTTTTTAATTTTAAGTAGTTGAAATTCATAAATATATTGTTGAATATATATTGTGGAAACACACTTTTTATCTAACTAAAATATCTTTGCATGTGTCTTTTTCTACATCTCTATAAAATTCTACTACCAAATTTTAGTCGTCCAACTTCAGAAAGAATAGCATCACTGGTAATTTTTTACTACACTGCAATCTAACAAGTGTTTAAACAAATTTAAATATTACAAAAACTATTAATTTTAGGTATATAACATTATATATAAAAAAAGTTATGGAATTTTACGCAGAATCTAAAAATAAATTAAAAAAACGGGGTGTTACATTTAAAAAAGGTATGTTATATTCGCCACACTTTTTTTAAGCACCCTGTATACTCTATAATAATTTTAAAATGTATATCTTAACCGTCCCTATAACTTTTGTATTCAATATTTTTTTGTAAACTTCGAAGCAAATGAGATAATGGACTTTATCGTTGACTCACCCTAACAGAGGCAACCAAAAATACACTAAAATAATTAGAAAAAATTTTGTAATTATTTAGTAATTAGGTATGTCAATAAACTCTTAATTGGGTCTCTAGTCTATTTTATTTAACGCACAAATATATTATTAAATTTTAATCATAGATTAAATATTTTAATCTATTAGCGTTAAGTAATAAAACTATTTGTGGGGCCCTCTTATCATAAGAGGTTACGAAATATACTCCTGGTAGTACACAAAAACAGTGTAAGGGGTGTAAATAAATTGTATAACCATTTTTTTATAATAAAAAATATAAAACATTTATAAAAAAAACAAAACAATGCATTGCCTTGGTTTCATATAACAACTATTTTAGAATTAGGCATAGGCAACCAAATACACAAGAAAAATAATTAGGATAAAGCCTTGTAATTATTTAGTAAATATATCAATAAATTCTTAATTAAGTCTCTAGTCTATTTTTATTTTATATTTACATAATATAAGTAGCATACACTCCCTTTTCCGATATAGAAAATTTCGTTAATTGCTTCTTGAAAATGCGAAAATATTGACAATCTGACAACGCTGTTTTTAACGTCGGAACGCGTTCGGGTAGACGACTCCACCCGAACAGCCTTGAGGAATTTTGACTATGAGGACAAACAAATACGTTTAAATTTACCTATACCGCGGCCTCACCATAAGAGCAATGAGAGAATTTATGTCCCAGAATTGAAGTACAGAAGATCGAGTTTGACATAAGTCCATCCTTGTTCAGTAGCTGGATGTAATGCACATGCGCCGAAATGCTACTTTTCTATTGGCCGAATGGTGTCGAGATGGGTTATTTTTTTTTGGACGCGTCGTCGGCGTGGATTTTGTTTTCAGTGTTTTCCACGTGTACTGTGTTTTCGTTTGTATTTTAATCTTTGTGCGTTTATTGACAATTTTGTGATTTAGTTTTAAAGACTTTTGCTGTAGTTTAATTAATAGAACAATGGGAATGTTAAATGTTTCGAAAAACAGAAAAAAAAAATTCTTTTGTAGATTTTCTCAAATAACTCGAAATCTGTTAGAGATATCGGAAAACGGTTTTCGACAGTCAATTCTACATAAAATGA